ATTGTTTGCCTAAAGATATGGGAAAGTGGGTCCTACCAGAGCATGTACGGCCTCCCCTCCTACTTATCCATCTTTTCATTTATGGCCCCATAATAGTCGGTGTCGACTCGCTACACTCTTTCATTCACCTGCTTTGGAATTTTCCGTTAGTTGTTAAAAAATAATCATATAATAATTAGATTATATATTATTAAAAAAATCAGATATACTTTTTGTGTAATTATAAGGATTAATTACAAATTAAAAATTATTATGGATGATAATATTTTTTATCACCGTTGCGTATCTAGAGCCGAATTCAAACTTAAGAAGACACTAAAATCACATGAGAAAGCTTTTTGAATTTTGACAAAGTTATGTCCACTTGTAGTTGTACCTCCTTGGCTTCCTATTAGTTACCTTTTTCACTTTTTCACTTTGGTTAAAAATCTTACTGGATCTACTTTTTACCTGTCTTGTGAAAGCGGTTTCCCAAAAGAAAAAAAAAATACTGCTAAATCTTTTTTAAATAAACAATTTTGTATTCAAAAAAAGTATTAGAGATCCTCTAACTCGATTAAAAAAAATAACTTACAATTTTAAAAAAATATTAAGAGAATTTAATATATTTAAGAGAATTTTTACACTATTCACAAAAATTATATTAAAAAGAGAGTAAATCTATCAATAATAATCTTTTAAGTGTAGTAGTCTCCTCTCTAGATTTTGTCGCATTAAAGTCTCCTCCAACCATCCAATCCCCAAGTTCTAAGGAATATTTTAACTGCAGTAAATCTATCCATAATAATCTTTTATCAACTACATTATAAGGAGAGTAAATGTCCAGAAAGTAACACTTGATACCTTTCCATATTGCATTTATTCCTAGGAAGCCTTTGCCCTTGAAACTGAACTGGGGAGAGATTGAGCCTTTCCTCCAAATAGTCAAAATTTCTCCAGAGAGACCGTCTAAGTCTTTTGCAGACCATTAACATTCCTTAGACCCCCACATGTTAACGACTAAACCTTCCTTCATCTGGTGCACCTTTGACTTTTGTATGAAACATATATCAGCCTTCCCTTTTATAAGTATTTGACTTAGTCTTCTTATTTTAAGGGAATTTTTTACCCTCTGATGTTGAAAGTCGTAATATCCATGGAACCCTTACTTAGATCTCCTTGTTTGAGTTTCTACACTTGTGATCCCTGACTTCTATTTCTATTATAATACCTTCAAACAACTCATCATCTTCATCCCTTTCAACTCCTAGCTCTTTAATTGACTTTCAAACCTTTGCCAATACATCATCAGATTTAGAAAATCTCATATTTCCTAGATTAACATCTAAATCATTAATCGAATCACAACATAAGATAGATCCACCAAAGAATCTTGATGATTGATCCTCAAATTCAGCCACAAATGAGATTGAAGTAGATGGATTTTTTGGATTTGTAATATTTTTGAGTTTTCATTTAGGAGTATTTAGGGATGAGAGATACGAAGGAAAAACCTCCGTACTATCCAAAATATCCATTACTGGTGTTGTTCGTAGTGATTATTGTAATCCTATTTTCATCTCCAACTATGCTCCTCATTTGTCACACCCACTCTTTGTCAATGATGTTTTCCTATTCGTAAAGGAAAACAAGTCTCAAATTAGATATATTGTCACACTCTTTGACAAATTTAGCAGTGTATTAGGTCCAAATATCAACCTTGCTAAGTCTCGTACTTTTTCATCCTACAACGTCCATGAGATTAAAATTAATAAACTAACTATAATTTTTGGTATTTAAAGCACCATTTATTTGGAAAAATACCTTGTATTTCCCATTCTCATAGGTAGATCTAAAATATCTTATTTTAACTTCATCATGAAAAAAAACTCAAACACACGAGCTTACTTGAAAAACAAGCTTGTCAACAAGCTTGGTCGATTAACCTTTATTACATTGATTCTCACCTTTATCCCCTCTTAGTAAATTCAAACCATCTTACTCTCTCAAAATATTTGTGACACATTTGATTGTAGGACTCATAATTTATTTACAAGGGTAATACCAACATAGGAATTCATATGGTCGACTGGAAACAATTACACCCCCAAAGAAGTTAGGTGGCCTGAGTATTGGATCAACTAGAGATGCCAACGCAACCCTTCTTGGCAAGCTATTTTAGGACATGCTTTAAAATACTCAAAAAAATTTAGATGTTCCATATCTCATAAGTATTTGCGTAATGGGCGTTTATACTTCATTTCTTCCACCACGGGTTACTCCATATGTAATTCTAGGGTTAAATAGAAGAATGTCCCATCGAAATTCTTGATGAGTATGTATATATTCATGACCTTAACCTTACTACTAAAGACTTTTATTCTACGACACCTTCACACATCCACGACTTGTATACTCAGCTCCCTCATAACGTCATCACAGAAGAGTCATCTATCCATATCTTTGAGTTATCTTTCACAATTCATTGTTACTTCATTTCCTTTGATATTTCTCTTTCTTACGTATGGAAAGAATAATATCCATCACAGGCCAAAACTTGAAGGAAGATGTTTGCACTTATTGGGCAGATTCTGTTTAGTCTTTAACCATTTTCGTCTTTGCTTGTGAGGGTAATTTTTATGGGGCTTTTCTTGATGTTGGTCCATATTCGGATTGAGGTGTCTTGACACCTAGTGAAAATGACAGAATATGCAGTGAATATGCTGATTGCAACATCCCTTTTTATGAATGCATTTTCTCGATATTGGGTCTTTAACTACCTTTCAATATCTTTTAGATGGAAGTTCTTAAGCATCTAATAATGGATCTATCACAGCTTCATCCTACGAGTTGAGCGTATGTGTAAGTCTTATAGTACTGGTGTGAATATTTGAATATGAGGCCTTCTCTGACCTATTTCTTTCATCTCTTCAAAGTTTATTATGACCCAGTGACTCAGGTGTTGGTTTGTAGCTTAATTTCCCCGGTGCCGACCATCAACGACTTTTGAGCTTTTTTAGAGGGTTTATAACACTTTGAAAACCGATTCTTATGAAGCCCATCCGCGCAGAGGCTCACGCAATGGTATGCGTTGTCGGAGGTGAAACTGGGGGTAAATGTGTTGAGGAACTTGAGTTGTTCCCCAAGTATTGGAATAAGGGCCACTTCCTGATAAGAAATTAATGTACGTCTACAAAGGGGTAGACCTTTCTCAGGAAGATCTATATATGAAGAAACGATTGATGAATTTCTTTAAAGATATGGGTTATCTTAGGGGCGTTACTCCTTTAGATGAAATTTTTTGAAAATGCTTGAAACGTCTCATCGACACCCGTTTACTAATGGATGCCCATACTAGGGAAGAAAGGAAGACTATTTTTTGTAAGTCTTGAAATGTCTTTGCTTCTTTGTCTTCAGCTTGCTTGCTTATGAATTATTTTGGTAAATATTGCATACAAATTCAATGAAGAATGAAAGAGTGCTTCGTCTTTTACGGTGGGGAATCTGGCCAAGATGAACTGGAGTTGGTTATTCTATACTTCGGAGCTCTCCGGAGGTACTGATGCTTTAGATCCTCCGCCCCTTATGTTGTTGATGGGGTCGAGACCATACTCTTCTAAAGAACACTTGGTTCTTACTTTAGAGAAGGGCTTATCATACTTAGCCAACTTGTTCGGACGTGCCATAGATAAAGAATTAGCGAATATGACACTTTACACCCGCGCACATATGTTGCTTTGTTCCTTAGAATAGCCATATGACACTTTACACCCGCGCACATATGTTGCTTTGTCCCTTAAAATAGTCAGTCATTAAGAAGCTCTTTGGTTTGACCAGCAACATAAAGACAAGTATCGGTTGGAGGAAAATGTTCATACCTTTATGCTCCAATGAGATACATATTTGGAAAAAAAATACATCAACTTTAATAAAAAAAAATATCATTTTTATATTATTTTATTTTATTATTGGTTAATAATAAATAATTTAATTTTATTAGTTATAATAAATATAATATTTAAAAAATTTTAGTTTTAATATGGCTTAGATGGATGCGAGATGTGAAAAACTGGCATCCTACAAGGAGATTAAAATTTTAATAGTGCAACTCGTAAAAATCAACTTATATTCCTCATAAAAATATGAGAAAAAAAAATTCTAACTCTAACCGTTTGTCCTACCGATTTAAATTAATTATACAGTAGAAATGAGAAGTTAAATTATCTTTTAAATATAAATAAATAGGTAATTTCAAAAAAGAAAATTATTTGAAAATTTGAAAATAACCGACTAAACATACATAACAAAAGAAAATCTATGACTCGAGCCAAAAGAAGTATTATTATTAACCAAATAACCAATAATAGTTAGCAAAATGTAATTAAACTAAGTTATTAAAGAAGAATTTGAGTTTTGGTTAAAATGAATGTCCACCAAACTTAATTGTTCTTGGATAGAGTTTCAAATTACTATCAGAATTAATTTTTCTAAAAACCGAAGAGTTTTTTTTTTAAAGGCTAAAAAAAGTAAAAACAGTTTGGAGAGAGAATTTGTTTAATGCATTTCGATATACCGATTTAGAAACTTGATACGTGTCATCTTTATTCCAGGGCTACTCTTGTACGTAGAAACTAGCCTCCAAATGTGTCATACTCATTTGTCTAATCCTTAACCTCCTCACACCTGTTTGGTTCTTAAACATCTTATAAATCATGATCCAAAACATTAAATATTAAATATTTGCATTCTAATTTTGATTAAAAATTAATTTATTAAATCTTCAACAAAAATAAAGAAAACTATTAATACATATGATTTAGTTATATTATATAATATAGTTACATTTATGGAATACATGTACATGGTTATTATAGTAATTTCAACATAAATGTTGTGGATAACATTGTATATGTTACTATTTCTTTGTTCTTTGCCTATAAATACCATTGATCATCTCCAATAACATCACACACAATCAAAAACACAAGAAACAAGAAACACAAACCACAAACACAGAGAAAATGGCAGGAATCATGAACAAGATTGGTGATGCTCTTCATATAGGAGGAGACAAGAAAGAAGGGGAGCAACATAAAGGAGAGGGTCATCATGTGGAACAACATAAAGGAGAGGGTCATGGACATGGACATGGACATGGTGCTGAGTACAAAGGAGAAGAGCATGGTTTTGGCCATGGAGAGCACAAACCAGGTCAATACCAAGGAGGAGAACACAAGGAAGGAATTACTGACAAGATCAAGGACAAGATCCATGGTGGAGGTGAAAAGAAAAAGAAGGAGAGGAAGAAACGTGAAGATGGTCACGAACATGGCCATGATAGCAGCAGCAGTGATAGTGATTAGATCTTAATTCACATGCTTCATCATCTTGAAAGGTATTTAATTACATTTTTCTTTTGTTTATCACCCTTATACAAAATTTTGTATATGATTATTGAGAAATCTACCTATTTTTGCAGGTGTATGGAACCATATGTGAAGACTATGTTATATGTTTTAATTTCTTATTATGATTTTATCTATGTATGTGAGTGAGATCGTAGTTGCTAATTGGAGTTGTTGTAAAAATAATTTGCGGTTAGATTGGTTTGTGAAACCCATACTGCCTTGTTAGTTTTGGTTGTATATTATCTTCAAGAAAATTATAAGGATTTCTATTATTAGTAACTTTTTGTTGGTGTTAAAATATAAGTAAAATTAATCAAATATAATTGATTAAAATTTGTACAAAATACAAAACAAAGCAAATTAATGATATACTAAAACTCTATGAGGTATTATTATTATTATTTTTTATGTCGGCTTCCCCAACTTCTTCACACTTTTTCCACCTAACTATATCAAAATCTGACACAACTTTAAAGTAACAACCATTGATTAATTGTTCTTCATCTGATTGTTATCCACAATCTTCGACTTAGTATTGCCATTGTTCTTGCTTGCAATCACTCTTACGACGTCTGTGATCAAATTTAATTGTTCCTCCCTCCTTCTTTGATGTTAAAACTTTGTTCTGTTCAAGAAATGTAATTGGATGACTTTCGTCAAAAACTCAACATAGAAAATGTCTCTGCCAATCATTATAAGAAAGGTTCAAAGCATCTTCGAGATAAACTGAACTTAATTCTCAAGCTTGGTTCATTAACTCGGGTGCATCTCATCATTTCTCTACTTATGACTTTTGTTTACAAATTAAACATTTCTATCTAGGTTCAAATTAGGTTTAACTATTAAGTCTATAGGTTCATTTCAATTTCAATCCAAGTTTTCATTTGACAATGTTCTTTTATTTAAGAGCATACTCCATATACCCTCTATTACTAGAAATCTTTACTAGAAATCTTCTGCTTGTGTCAAAGTTTACTAAGAAAAATTATTTTTCGTTGAGTTTCACTCTAACCCTTTTTATGTTAAATGTCAAATTTCAAATCTTCTGCTTGTGTCAAAGTTTACTAAAAAAAATTATTTTTTCGTTGAGTTTCACTCTAACCCTTTTTATGTTAAATGTCAAATTTCTAAACAAATTCTTCTTGAAGCATTCCTTCATGACTATTGAGATTTAAGTGTTGGCTAGTCCCACAATATATAAGAGAAATGACTCATACCCTTAATGTCTTAAGGTTTGAGGTAGATATGCGGTGTCAAAGTCTCTTGGATTTCAATATTTGGTCCATTTATATTATAACCCTGGTTGGCTCAGTGACTCACACTTCTGAGAAATATTATTGAACTTCAAGTATGAAAGTACTAAAGTCCCACATTGGCTAGGAATGAAGGAAATCTTATGTTTATATAAGAGGTGACCAATACCCACATTGCCTTAAGGTTTTTGTATGGATATGTGGCATCAATGTCTCTTAGATCATGAATGTTTAGCCTATTAAGACTTCCAACTTATATTGCTTTCCAATTATGGCTATTGAATCACAAGCTCAACATGCAGACATTCTCTTTCTATACTTGATATTGTTTCTTTTCATAACACATTTTTATAAAGCTTTGTTAAATCTAATAGTATAAGTTGTAAATATAATATATTATCTCTAAGTGACATTTTAGGCTAGGTCATGCTAACTTCAACATTGTTAAAATTATTCTAAATAACTGTCAAATTCATGTTTCAAATAAATATATACTTGTATTTTGAAATTCTTGTTGCTCAGGAAAGTCTTATTGACTATATACACCCTTATCTTTTAATGTTTACACTAGCCCTTTTGATATAGGTCATACTGATCTATAAAGCCCTGCTACTTGTCCCTCAAGTTATGGATACAATATTATGTATCATTTGTAGATGTCCACACTAGATATACATGGATCTATCTACTAAAGTAAAAATATGATGCTCTCAAGGTATTCAAACTCTTCCATTTTTTTGTCAAAAACTAGTTCAATACTAATATTAAAGCCTTTCAATTAGATTTTTGGAGGAGTGTTTAGACTATCCACTAAGTATCTAATTGAGTTGGGAATCTCACATAGACTTACATGTCCATGTACCTCACATCAAAATGGTACCATGGAGAGAAAACATAGTCAAATACTAGAAATGGGCCTAACCTTTCTAGATCATTCGTCAATTCCTATTAAGTTTTAGGATCACTTGTTTACTACCTATATATATATATATCTAGTTAATAAAATTCCCAAATCTTTTTTAACCAAGTTCTCTTTACCTTGCATGCTCTCCACAAAACCCTACCCAAATACAAATATTTGGACAACATTTGGGTACTCATGTTTTACCTTGTTAAAACCTTACAAGAAACACGAGTTATGACAAAAAAGCATTGAATGTGTATTTTTAGAGGTGTCATCATAACACAGCATTATAAATGTCTAACTAAAGAGGGTAGAATATACATTTCTAAGGATGTGAAATTCAATGAGTTAAATTTCCTTACAACAAAATGTTCTCTCCCTCATCCAAATATTTTCCAACTAGCAAGACCGAGTTCTTAGTTGAATAAACTAAAACAAAATCAATGAATGGTCAAGTTGAGAGAAAGCATTGTCATATTCTCGTCTTCATTTGTTCCATGCTTATTTCAGCCTCTTGTCTTGGAAGTGCTTGGGATGAATCTAATCTTACTAATGTCTATATTAGTATCATTTCTTTCCTCCATTATTGGTAATTACTCACCTTTCGAGCATATTTGTCACACTACACAATATTACAAATTACATAAGGTATAGTTGTGCTTGCTTTGTCCTCCTCCAACCCAATGAATATACTAAATTTGAGCCTCATGCTCATCTTTATTGCTTTCTTGTGGAATTGAACACAAAGTTTATCGATGTTGACACTTAATGTCTCACCACATTTGTATCTCTTATCATGTTGTCTTTTTGGGAGCACATAATGTTCTCTTCATTGTTGAAGTGTACGTCAACCATATCCAATTCTAGTATTCTCTTTGCTAATACCGATGTTAACTAATTTCTTAGTGACACATATGTCAGTTCTAACACAAATTCAGGTTCTTCTAACGAGCTTTCAACCCCTTTCAATGTTCCATCCACTTATGGTGATGGTGCTCTTGATGTTAATCATGCACCACCCACCATTGAGCTTCTTCTAAGGGTAAAAAATCAACCTACCTATCTTCGTGATTACCATTTTTTATCTACTGTGCTTCACCTTCATGAACCATAGTCTTATAAAAATATCATATACAAATCCTCATTGGCAGCAAGCTATGGACAAGGAGTTACAAGCATTGGACAAAACCCACACAAGACCTCGTTGAATCACATTCTAATAAGTTTTTTTGTAGTGGGAAAGTGGGTATATAAAATAAATAATTTTTTTATAGAACTACTGAGAGATATAAGTCTCGCCTCATTACAAAAGGAAGCACTCAAGATTATGATATTGATTACAAATAAACATTTGTTCTTGTTGTATACACACTTTTGTTCGTATAGTTCTTGCCATTTTAGTTGCTCACCAATGGAGACCCACATAAATGAATGTTAAGAATGCTTTCCTTAGTGGTGAGTTAGAAGAAGAGGTTTGTATGAGTCTTTCTTTAGGATATACTTGTTTGGGAAACAAGGTGTTATGTCTTTGCAAGGCTTTATATGGTCTTAAGCAAGCACCCCAAAGCTATTTCTCAGTATTATTTGTCCGATGAATTTCACACTACTATTTCTAAGATGAATTTCTCTTTAGTTCTCATGATTATGATCTTTTTACTCAGAAAACAAAAAATGGTACTATTTTTTTTTGCTTTTTATGTCAATGACATGATTATCATTAGTGATGACTATATTGAGGAAAGGGGAAAAAATCGATAATACCCATAAAAGGTGAAGAATATGGTCGCGCAACCAAATTTGGATTCAGAAGTCGGTTATGCAAGGGAAAGGTATTAGCACCCCTCACATCCGTTGTACTCAACGAGAATCATCTAGGTTTTCTAAGCACGAAAGGGTGTCGTTTATCTAAAGATCTAATTGCTAAAGGGGAAATGGATGGTTTTTTATTAGGGTGCTCGCCAAGATCTCGCAATCTTGTGCCTACGTATCCTCATAGTGCAATAAGGAAATCAGAGCTTCGTAGTTCGGGGTAGCAAATACGTGTGTGTTGGTTGATTTTACCTTGAAAAAAGGTTTTTAGGATGATGCTCGAAGACGCAAAAAAGAGAATTTGATGAGTTGATATTGATTTTAGGGTTTTGAAAAGAGGTTGTTTTTTATTCGAATTGCACTAAAGACTATGGATAGAGGTGAATATTCCAAACTACCAAGCCAAGTGTCTTGTGTCCAAAATAATTAGAGTGATGATAGAAAAGTTCCATTCTCACCCATTCTCCACCACTTAAGGCTCGTGGCGGGCAATCCTAATCGTATTTTAAGGTGTTTTTTAGTTTATTTGAAAAACTACAATTTGACGTTGGATTAAGAGTTTTATTAAGAAAAATATCACTTGACATTGGATCAAGGGTTTGAGAAAATGGTGAGGTCGATCCTAGTCAAACCTTTAATGCCTTCCTTAAACATCAAATTAACATATATATATATATATATATATATATATATATATATATATATATATATATATATATATATATATATATATATATATATATATATATATATATATATATATATATATATATATATATATATATATATATATATATATATATATATATATATATATATATATATATATATATATATATATATATATATATATATATATATATATATATATATATATATATATATATATATATATATATATATATATATATATATATCAAATTTCTTAAAATGGGTGGCTACAACAATATCGGGAGGCTTAAGAACTTCCTCCGAACTAGTATAAGGAA